CTACCAGATTATAAATTTTAAATTTTCCCATTCATAAAGTGAAAAACCAAATTAATTCCTCTACACTTCCCTCCCAACAGAAGCATTTTCTTTTTTTGTGCCAAGTAGCTTTTACCTGTTTCAAGCTTTTCGGACATGGCTTTAGCTGAGTTAATATCAGGCAGCTGTCTCAGAATTTATTTAGCTGTCAGGTTTACAGATGGCTTGTTCCAAAGTGTTGTTTTATTTCTAAATTTCCTCTTACAGGTATGTTTGTTCCTCTGTATGTCTTGTGAAATCCCCCCATGTTTGTGTGATGTGTATGGTAATTCCTTTTCAGGTGCACTGGAACTTGGCTTGCTTACTAGCTTCCCATGACTGGCTCCATTATTGAGTTGATAATGAGCATCCAGTAGGAGAGAAGAAAGTTGTGAAGTTAGCCAGCTGTTCCTTATTGGGATTGAACAGCTTGTTTTTTCTTTTGTGTAGCATTTATACTTAACACTTGGTAGGCAAACTACTATTCCAGGGTTCAAGTGGATTCAGCTATTCAAATGCATTGGCCAGAAAATGAAGGGGATTCTGTGTAAACGGTGCGCTCCCAGTCTCAGATGATCTTTTTGATGTCTATATTTTGCAAATGGAAATTTTCCATTTTCCATCACCAGCATTCTTTGAGGCAGTGTTATCTGAAGCGACTTTTTGACTGGCTGTTTGCATTTTTCATTTCCATGCTGTATTTCCTCTTTTCTCTCTCAACCCCACACTTTCATATCCAATTCCCATTTTGATTCCCCTCTCTTCTGTATCGCACCATTAAGAGCTAGCCCTGAAAAGTGCTGAATGCCGCCAGTGGCTTTATTGAGAGTTAAAAGTACCCAGCGCTTTGCAGGGTCCAGGCATTAAGTGAAGTCTCCTTCATCTGTGTAAAGCTTGAATGTTTCAGCTCTTTTCACAGATGATACAGAGAGGAAAGAGAGCTGAAATTCACCTCCTCAAACCAGTTGACATGGCTCTTGTGCAGCATCACCGGCAGCTGCTGTTCCAGCTGGAATAATAGCAACATCAGGTTGCCCTAGTTGATCAGGTTGTTTGGACCATGGGGGTTGTGTAAATGTGAATGCCTGTCACACCTTCTTCCCGCTCCCCACCCTTTAGTGTGAGCCTGAGGTAAGAACCCATACCGCAGCATATAGTTAGGATGCGGGTACCCCTCTGTGGCTACTCTGCTCACAGCCCTCTGTAAGGTTTAAGTGGAAAACATAGCACTAATCTTCTGCCCTAGAGGAGAAATGGGGAGCAGTGTAATATGACAAGCTGGGAAAGAATGCAGAGTCAAAGATGAGGTCCAGGTTCTGGACCTCACTGTCTGGCATGATAATGGTGGTGCTATCTCTTGTAATCAAGACAATAGCTTTCAAAATCAAGAGATCCCTGGGAGGAGTTGGGGAGGAAGATTCGGGGTTTGTCTCCACTCCAATTAAAAACTTGCAACTGGCCTGTGCCAGCTGACTCAGGCTTACAGAGCTCAGGCTAAAGGTAGTGTTGGCAGGAGCCCAATTGAAAGGGGAACCTGACAGTGTCCAGTCAGATCTAGTAGCTGGACACCCAAAGTCAGGTTCCAGCTGGTGGGGAGGCACTAGCCCATCAACCACTCCATACCCTACTCAGCCGAGACTGCTTCTCACCTGCATCAAGCAGCTGAAGCTTCCAGCCCTGACTCTGCAGACAAGTTCATCCTGACTGGAGGAGGGGAGAAAGAAGAGGAGGAGAAAAGCAGCAAGTGATGGGGGAGGAGGAGGAGAAGAACAAGAACAAATGCAGAGCCTTTGGGTGGTAGACGCTGGGCACGGGGGTAGGGCTTTAGGGAAGAGAGGGGAAAAGTAGCAAGTGTCGGGGGAGGAAGGAAGAAGCAGCAAATAGGGGGTTGGTGCCTCAGACAGAAGAGACAAGGTAAGGTGGGTCCTGGCACTCCTACTGGAGTGTCCAGTTCTAAACAATTACAAATTTGGCAACCCTCGCTAAGGAGCTGTTTAATTGCAGTGTGGATACTTGGCTTGAAGCCTGGGTTCCAGAACCCAGTGAGGTGCGAGGGACCCAGCGCTCAAGCTGTAGCCTAAGCCCAAACATGTATACCACAATTAAATAGCCTGTTAGCCCAAGCCCTGCCTGAGTTAGCTGTCTAATGGCAGCGTAGACACACCCCAGGAACTCTGTTTTAGCCATGGTGAGTTTGAGCTGCCGGCCAGGCGTCCATGTCAGAAAAAGTGGCCAAGATATTAAAAATGAGGCTAATAATAGCTGTTTCACACTAGGTTTATGGCTATCACATTTGAAGAAACTATTCTGAACCTACTTTGCTATTTTAGCTGAACCCTAACACTTGCAACTGAAAGTTCTTACCAGTGGGAAAATAAGAGAACATACACCTAAAAGTCAGTGGTTACTCAATAGAGCTGAGCTTTCATCCAAAATAAATCTGCACTGTGTTAATTTGTGTGGAAAGTACCAATGGTAGAAACACTTGCCATTTAGCAGAAACAAGTAATTTACTAGTAATGGTTTCTTTAGTTTGTACAGATTAGAATCCTTAACATTACAGATATTAGAGGCAGAAAGGATCTGCTTGTTATACTGTCCATCACTTAGCCACTGTATGTTTGTTTCTTATTTTTTCCTATCTATTTTTTTCCATGGCTTTGTTCAATCTAGTCTTCAATGTTTTTGATAGGGCTTCCTTCACTTCCTTTTTAAGGAATCATTTCAAATGTTGTGGCCTGTGTGTAGGAAATACTAGATGATCAAAATAACTTATCTCTGGCCTTAAAGCAAAAAGAAGTTGGATGAATGTTGGACAGTCTGTTACATTTAAACTCCTCTCTCAAGGTGTTTTCTTTTTTTATATTTAGTCTTAATCTTTCATATATATGGTTTCACCCCAGTTATTCCTGAACACACAGGGCTTTCTTCCCCTTACCTGTATTTCCAAAGTCAGATTCACTGTAGTGGCATGGCTATCAAACTTTAGAAACATTGTTGGACCTGCTTTGTGTTACAGATGGAAGCCCTTAGCCACTCCGCCATTTCCATGTGTGTAAAATGGAGATAACAATCACCTAACCACATCTCACAAGAATGCTGAGAGAATGAAGAGTTAATGTTTGTACAGTGCTTTGAAGATATCAGGACAGATTTTGCAATTGGCTCCTACAATTGGGGCTGGATTTTTGAAAGAACTCCACACATAGCAGCTTTCACTGCATGACACAGCGTGCTGTTAAGTACTAAACTCTAAAAAAAAAACCACACACACACACACACACTCACACACAAAATCTGAGGAAGTGAAACCAGGCACTCTGTGATTGCAGTGATTCATATATGTGTATCCCACTTTTGCTCTGCCTCTCTGCTCTGACCTCTTTTGCTGGCAGGCTGTGGGGATATATATGAAATCCTTGCTAAACTTCATGCCATGCTTGCTTACAAGAACAGCCATCTGACAAAGCAGAGTAGAACGTGGTGTGTGCGTGCTGTGTCACGTGTAAGTGTGTGCCCACAAACCAAAACACAGCTGGCAGGTCTAATTTTAGCCCTTACCAGCCTTGAGAAGTGTCCCATTAAAGACATATTTTTTCCTCTAAAAACAATTTGGGTGTTAATATGGCTCATGCCATGCTTGCTTACAAGAACAGCCATCTGACAAAGCAGAGTAGAACGTGGTGTGTGCGTGCTGTGTCACGTGTAAGTGTGTGCCCACAAACCAAAACACAGCTGGCAGGTCTAATTTTAGCCCTTACCAGCCTTGAGAAGTGTCCCATTAAAGACATATTTTTTCCTCTAAAAACAATTTGGGTGTTAATATGGCTTCATTTACAAAAAAATGAAAAAAACCACCAGCCGGTAATATTTTTTGAAATCTACAAATAGCAAGGCTACTAAAGAAAGCTCCATTAATTTAATGATGTCACAGGAAAAAAATAAACCTGGGACCTATGTAAACAAAAGACAAATGTATGTACTTATTCAGTGCCCAGAAATATATATGGATAGATGTAAAACGGGACCCTTCAGAAACATTTAAAACTTTTCCTTAAGTTGGTTTGAATCAGCTTAACTCCATCTCTTAACTCAGGCTTTTAGGGAGCAATGGGAATGTCCCTGGTGTGAGTGTGTGTCTGTGCACTTCTGATGTTGCCAGGGATGGTGTGATGGATTATCTGTGGCTCTTGAAGGGTAATTTTAAAATTATACCAAAGTCATGGCAAGCTCAGGAGTGGTGGTTCCCTCCCCCACTTTGTTATAAATCCAAATAGAGAAATAACTGAAACACCTCTTAATACACTGGGTCAGTCACAGTGAACACTTCCCCTGCATGGCCCCTTTTACACCCCTGTCTGTTTCTGTGCAGTGGCAGCTTAGTGTACCACTTAGTTTTCTGTTTTAAACAATCCCCTTTTGGAGGATCTGTTGCTGATCTCCTAATAGAGTCTGTGACCTTGTAGGGTCCTTCTTTCTTTCTTTGAGCAGCGTCACAAAAATATCAACAGCGCCTTTTTTTTTTTTTAAAGGCTCATTCTTTGCAGCAATTTCTTTGAGTCCCAGGTGCTCTGTGTCCCTGCTTTGCAGTTTGGCCGGTCTGGGCTGTGACTTTGGGAAGTGCAGAATCCACTGCCGGTATTTGAAGTTCCCCGGGTTGAGTTGCACCAGCAAGCAAGCGCTGCTGTAAAATTGCTTTGCTTTCCGAGATAGCCAGCAGAGGGAATCGGGACTTTGCTTGCAGCAGGGGCTGAAAAAAGCAGGCTGTTTCTTCTTGGAGGAAATACTGCAGCCTTCTGAACTGCGTCTGCTTCTCCAGGGAGAGGCTCACTGTAGTTCCACCCACACCGGCTGGAAGGAGGGGGTTTGAATGAAGACAAGACAAGCCCTAAACACCATGTCACACCGTGAGAGAGGCAGCAGCAAGTAGGCTGTGGCAAGCTGCTTTTTTATTTTATTATTTTTGTAATAATAAAGGGGGGGGGAGGGTTGGGTGGAGAGGAAGAAAGAGAGAGGAAAAAGCTGGTCTGCAGAGGTTTGGAGTTCCACTGTCTTGCTGATTTCTCTAACAGGACTTTTTTCTACAGACACTGGCAATTGACATTACTACAGACAAGCTGGCTAGGAAAGAAAACGCTATATCCTGAGTGAAGGAGGGAGTGGGGGGGGAGGACAAAGCAAGATTTTTTTTTTATCTCTCTCTATATTTTGTTTTTGTTTTTTATTCTTGCCGTGTTGGACCTAGTGAGCAGTAGAAGGCAAGGAAGTCTCGAAAGCCTCATCAGTCATCAGTACTGTCAGGAATAGTGGTTTCAGAGGAAGAAAGGCCTGGGGCACTACACCCTGTCAACGAGTTCCCTGCATCGGAGATAAAGATTCCAGCTACATGGGCAAACGCTTGGATCAGCAACCAATGTACCCTCAGTACACTTACTACTACCCTCATTATCTCCAAACCAAGGTATGGTACCGCAGTTCCCTGCCTGTCCAGCAGTGTGAACATGATCTCATTATGTACTTGGAGGATGGACAGTGGAATGGCATAAATTAGAGATTTTTGATTGCTTGTTCCTTTATTTCCCCCCTTAAAAATCATGCCGGGCCGAGCTAATAGCCAGAAACAGGATGGTTCAGGCTTATGCGTTTATTTATTTATTTTGACAACTACTTTAGTTAATCCCTTTAATTTTTCCCTCCCTCACTAAATGTGGTTAATATTACCGAAGGAAATATACGTTATTATGACATAGGCTGGAGACCGCTCTGGACAGCATCAGGCATGCACACCCTGATTTGGTGGCTGTTTCAGTGAACTCTCCAATTTGTTTGGCATTCAAAAGCATTTTGCCATTAGCAATCACCCAGTGGATTCTGAAACTTTTAATCGGTTAAGTCTGAGATGCTGTGGGCTTCTGGGGTGGACAAGACACTAACCTACTGTAAATCTTTTGGAGTTTGTTCCAATGTATTGAACTGCTTTTAATGTTGCATTAAATATTGAGGATGATCTGGCTGCATGCTGTTGAATTTGAAAGGTCTAGAAATAGATGGTAGCTACTGTCGGGGGAAAAAGCACCAAACATGGTTTCATTTTTTTCAATGTCAGTGTTTCTGGAAGGCAGGCCTGCATCTCCCAAAGAGACTGAATGAAGCCCGTTGACACCTGGATTTTAATTAGTTAAATCATACTTTGATTTTCCCTAGTGACATTTACCATAATTTGTTGCCCAAAAGAGTCTCCTTTGCAACCAGTGGACAGTAACAAAAACAACTTTGCAAACCAGTTAGGACATTGTAAAGAAAATTACTATTCTGAAATGCATCCTTGCAACCACAGATTAGCAGTTTGAGTCAATGAACTAACATTTTTTTTAGGCCAAAGAAAAAGAAACAAACCCCAATAGTTTCCACCACCCAAACTAATGTCACACCAATTTCAATGGCAAATGTAAGCCCATAGAACACATCTGAGTTTGGGGGGAGGGGTGTCTTTTGGTCTCAAACACATTGAGCTAGTTAGTATTGAAAGGCCAAGTTATGTTTCCTTGCTAATAAAATTACTTTTCAGTTAATGTTTATAGCCAGACCCCTGCATTATATAAATTAACTAATTGTGAAAACTGAGACTAAGGCTGGTTGGAGTTGTGATGATACCAGAACCACTCAATGTGATTATAGCCTTGTAATTCATAACATGATTATGTCTCATTTGTTTGCTGTGTGCTTTCTCTAGCTATAATGTACAGAATTTTTGTGTGAGCTCCCCCCCCCCCCATTTTGAGAGGAGGGCGGGGAGTAATTGTTTCACCATGTTTTTTCTCAAGGTCGATTCAAATAGCATTTTACCTTTGTGACCAGTTAGTCAGTATTGTGCAGCAGCAGCAGCATCCCGTTGCTAGCTTGACTGCAATCTTGGCTATGGCTTCAACTGTTTGAGGGGATTGGGGGTGCAAACTGATGCCATTTCTCAAAACCTGGCAAGCCAAAGATGTGAAACAATGAGTATTTTTTTGAAAGAACAATAGCCTTAAGTACTGGATGAGAAAAACTGGACATTCCATCCCTTTTACTCATGTAGCTTAAATTTTGCCAGCTTTTTCTTTTTTCTTTTTTTAATTTTTGTAGCTCCTTTTTTTGTTTTGTAAAATATGCTTTTTAGGGAAATGAAGTTTGTGTTCCAAGTGAAAGTGACAACTGCTTTCCATACAATGATTTTATAATCTGAAGCTTTTGGAGAACTGATTAATATTACTTAATAATATACAATCTGTAATTATCTGTTGTGTTCTAGAGTATAAAATTATCTACCCTTCTGAAAAGTTGCGTGTGAATATAATTATATATTTGAATACAAACACTCTTTTTCCCAGGGACATAATATTACAATAAATTTTATATTACATTAATTTCTGTCTCTTTCTCTCAAACCTAAATAATAAACACACATACATATATATGTTTCTGTAATATAGCCCTAAAGAGTTTAGAGCAGTGCAGACAGGCAGCATCTGGATTTTGTTACCTTAAAGCTAGCCATCAGCTTCTGGGACATTTTAGAGTATTTAGATCCATTGTATGTCTAAAGCCAATATTTGGGTAATCAAATAACATGGTAGCGAACTATACCAGTTATCATGCCTATCATGATAACCATACTAATCTTATATACCACTTTGATTTCAACTGTGTTGTTAAGCTCACAACTTTTTTATTTTCTGGAAATTACGCTGTGTATTGTATGTTAAACAAAATTTTAGAATTCAACTGTGTAAAAACGTGTATTTGTATTTGGATATTCATGTATAGGGAAGGGGAAATGCATTAATTTAAAATCCTATAAAAGGAATTTTAGGCTTTCTCAGGGCATTTTTATTCAATGCATAAAGCACAGAGCAACAGGGCATTAAATATACAGCATTCTGAAATGTAAATGTTTTCCTCCCATTTTCAGATCAAGTGCTTTACTTTTTCTCTGCTCACACTGTAAATTAATATCAGCTGTTCTTTAAGAAGTACAATAGTACTGTGTAGCAGAGCTTTTGGAAGGGTTTTATACAGAATTGCATAAGGTTCACAAGATATATAGTCCACATTTGTACCTTCTAATATAGCTAACATGTTGTTAGGCAATAATGGTGTAGAATTTGAAACAGAAGAATGGGATCCATATGTTTGGGTGACTGCCTTAAGTTTTACAAATGTTACAGTCTCAAGTAGAACGTGAAACAGTCTGATTATTCAGTTTAGTTCAATACCTTAATTATAAGATGCCACCATTGAAATTAAGACTTGAATGGCAGGTTCAGACAAACCCATTATAATCCAAAACATTTAAAAGTTTCAGTTTTTTAAAGGAGAATATAATGTATTTGGTATGTCCTGTAAGGACGAACAGAGGGATTGAAAGAGAAGGTATTTTTCCCCTTCTGGTATAACACTGGCTCACTACTGAATTAGATTGGATTGTCTGAACTTTGTTAGCTAAGTCCTGTGACTAGAACTTGCTTATTCTAGGAGTGATATGAGCTATATTTAAAATCAAACATTTTTGTTGTTGTTCTAAATTAGGAATCTATGGCCTCACATGAACTTCCTGCAAAAAAAAAAATTGAAAAAAAGAAAAGAAATGTGTTCATGTGTTACATACATAGGACATTATTTTAGGGATCACCTATAATTTAAGGAAATTTATCATTTTATTTTGAACTGCTTGGCAATGGAAACGTTACTAGAGTGGAGTGTGTTGACAGGATAACTAAGAAACAAATACGTTTGTGTAGCTGTGTTGTAGATATTCACTTATGAGCATATGTGGGAGCAAATCTTGTCCCAAACCTTGAATTTCCATTTTTGATTTCTTGCTTGAAAGAGTAGGCCTTTTTTTTTTAAACAGTAGGAGAAAAGACAGAGTGATGTGAAATTTCATTTAATAATTAGGAATGACATGAGGAGGAAAAAAAGTTTTCACCCAAATGGTTTTAAAAGATCTCTTCAAATAATAGTACTTGTTGGGGTTGGGTTTTTTTTTAAGTCGTTATTGCTTATGGTCAGAATTTTCTGTTTGTAGTTACCTGAATTTATTTTTCACAGTTGTTTGGCTGGCATTTTAAGAACATATTTCAGCGTAGCACTTTTTCACATTCTATTTGCTTTAATATATTCTTAGTTATTCGCCATTTATTTTTATTTTTCATAGTACTGTATGTATCTGGTCACTGAAGTCACACAGTATTAACTCCAGTTCCTGGTTGGATGGCTGAAACATAGGGTGCCACAATTAGTGAATACCAGTGTGCAAACACTCTGCCACATACATCAACAGGTGTAAGGGGAAGAACAACCATTTCCCAACATCTGTGTGAATAACCCCCCTCTGGCATGGATGTTAACAGAAAAGTGAACAAAAAGGGGTATGAAAAGAATGAACTGGTAAGCACGACAGATGTTTGAAAATGTTTGCACAAACTTGAGAAAGAAGTCCTGGAAATTCAAGAAAGTATAGTGATGAAATAGTTATAAACTTTTTAAAAATCACTTTTTATATTTTTAAAGAATGAAATCCTCCTTTCTCTCTCTTTTAACTTTTAAGACATTCTTTGACCCGAGCAAGTCAAGAACTGCTTTGAGTTGTGTGTGTGCGAGAACTGAATTTCTGCATCCAGTTTGGGCTTCCATGCATACAACTATTGAAAAGATCCTTATATATTAGTCAACCTTCACTGTCCACTGCCCAGATGACTCAATAATTAGATATTTCTCCTTTGACATTGGTATTTTCACTGATGTGTCAATAGAACTTTAAAATGTCAGTAAAATGTCTACAACTTAGTTATATCAGCCTAATTTAAAAAAGCAAGTCACTAGAACCAACGCACAGCTCTCCATTTCTCTCTACCACCTTGAACCCACCGAGACAATGTTCTTTTCTCACTCACATTGCAGTTTAGTCAGTTTACTGCATTCCCCACTTCGGGCCATCTGGACATACAGAAGGCCTAGAAGAAAGAGTTCCAGATATGAAGATGCCTGACAGGGCTTTTCTGCCTGGTAGTGTTCAGATTGTGTTTGGTGCCTGGTGTGAAGTAGGGGTCAGGTGTAAGGAGTAATTCATCAACCGCACACTGATTTCAGGCTGCATTTTCAACCATCTGCAACCTGGATTGCCGCCAGGGCTCAAAAGTCTAGCTGGAGCCTGTGTGATAGTGCTAAAGTAAAAGCAAACACTTGCAAATAGAGAAATGCATTTCTAGAAATGAAGTTTATATGTACTTAGCTCTTAGCTGGTTCAGTACATTGTAGCATGGAAAAAAAAACTCTGACAGGTGTCTTTAAGATATATGCACTTGCTTAAATTGAATTAAAAATTGTTTGAACGCTGATTATATTTTTGACTGCATTAATATCTAACCCTGGTATGTTGCTGGTTGTGTTAAACAATAAGAAGGTTTAAAATTATGCCCC